AAGTACGTGTTTCTAATTGGTTTTAAGGCTCTACCATTCACTGAGTTTTGATTTCCAAACATTATCTTAAATTGTATTACATACCCCAATATCCTCTGAATAAATTCTGGGGTTTTCCCCTTGAGCTAGTTTTAATTGGGTTTCTGTTGATTAAAACCATAAGAACTTAGATTAACACAGAGCTATTAAGTTTGCAAGGGAACTTTCTGATTAGTACATTTTCTGTTACCAGGTAGTTTGAATTTCTAAAAGTCATATTCAAAGCAGAATATAAGAGATATGCAGAAGAATATATGGTTCTCAAATATGATTCTGAATGTTTAGAGCAATAGTGACAATTTGAGGAATAATATTTGGGGACAGGCTAGTTGAATGACACAAGTTCCTTGAAATAAAAAAAAAAATTTAAAAAAACATGCCCAGAAACATCTTTAACGTTCATTCGAGGTCTGCCAAAACTAGGAATGTCTGATTTCCCTGAGATAGATCAGACATTTAACAATTGTCAGATAAAAATTTCTCATCAGAGAGAACTTGATTTCATATGTCTTTTTATTTTATGGCAAATGTTATATGAAAGAATATTGGAGCATATCCAGGACTGCCTATTTGGGCATTTTCAATCATTTTAATATCTTTGGTTCTTGACTTGCTCATTCACATTTGAGAGCATATGACACCAAGGGGGCGCCCATAGCCAAAAATAAAATTTCTGCAGTAATTTCCAGGCTACTGATACAACAATGAAGATGATATCCTGATTATTTTTTGTTACATTTCCCAGCTTAAGGAGTTTTGTGAAGATTTAATTTATGTACAAGGAGTATTGCAATGAGGCCTGTCTCTAAGTTAAATTCCCATTAACCATCACCAAAGTAAATTCTCACTGAATGTAATTTTGATGTGTTTGGGGAAGAAAGACACAAACATCTCCCTAAACAGAATGGAAATACATACATATGAAAAGAGTTCTCTCCATTCTTTTTCCTATATTGGTGCCTAGATTTTGTTGGTTTTACAGGAAAGTGATCCTTTTTTTTAAGGAATAGGCATTAAGTTAACAAAAGTATATACTATCTTTATGTCTCATTTGTTCTTTTGTGAAGAAAATACATCATAACACAGTTGTCATCCAGGATTGTAAAACAAATTAGGGGGATTATTCCAAGGATAACTCATAACACTCCATCATGACTTCATAATATCCAGTGAGTTCCCTACTAACATGATCAAACTTTTAACTTTTAAGAAAATATTTTCTCAAAATTTAGTCATCAAAGTAGGATCATCTTATATACATTTAAGTAGTAGCATTAGTTAAATTTTCTAGAATAATTTCCATGTTTATAGTAATAGAAATAGAAGTGCTATGATGATATTTTCAACAGTGGTTTGAAGGATAGTGAAGAAATACTGTAGCTTATTTTCATTATATAAAAAATATAGTTAATGGGATTCTCAGGAAACTATTTCCCCCATTTAAATGTATTTTTGGAAGAAATTCAAATTCTCCAATTTCCAATTATTGGAATAAAGTATCTCTCACTTTATGAATGCTATCATGTGATCACAAATACCTATGTACTCTGTTTAGGAAGAAAATAAAAGCAAAGAGGGGAAATAAGGAAAAAAGAGTCAATGGCCTTGGATTAATACTATAAAAGGCAAGTTGGAACTTATAGAAATCTTAAAGGGAGTCTACAATGTCTGGAAGAGAAAATAGGAGGAAAAATGAATGGCTATGTTTATGTTGATGAAAAAGTCTCTATCCTGGTAGTTTCCAAAAATCTTCATTCACTATTTTTAACTTTCATTCACTAAAAACAATGACTTGTCACTCATGTTCAAAACTGTTCTAGGTGCCATCTGTGACATAGAGGAGAATTGGTTTCTTATCCTTTCACCAGCCATAATCCACCAAAACTCATAGATTGCTGATCTGCTTAAGAAGATCAGGATCCATTTTTAGACAAATTTACTAAGTGAAATTTTTAGTTCTGCTATTTCTCTGCCTATGAGAAAGACATATTCTGGATTGCTGCATAAATGTCATATTTCATCTTGCTAAGGACACCATTAATAAAGATTTAAATTATGCTTGGCATATATCATTTCACCTTCTCATTCTATTCTCCCAAACTCAACTTTTGGAGATGCTACTATCCATGAACATTTCTTTGAAAATTCAATTATTTGTGTGTGTTTGCCAAATTGGGAGATAATTGAATGAAGATATAAATTCAACTGCAGTACTTCAGAGCACTTTCCCTTGATAACACCTAAGGCAAAACAAAACTACTTTTCTGACAAGCATCTCACACATCTTAAATAGACAGCTTGGGACCTCGTCAGACAACTATGTAAAAAAGTCAAAGTGAAAAAGAAATTGCCTTTACCAAGAAATGTAGCAATCTACCCAGGGAGATTTCTGCTTTCAAGACTAATCCTCCATGGCTTACAGCTCTACTCTTTGGGCTCCTGGCTCCATCCTCTACACCATCCTTCCTTTTTCATTAGTGGTAGTACATGTTTTACTTAAGTAGTTTCAATAGAATGCTTTTTGCTTGTAGAATTTGGAGGTACAACAGCTTTATTTAATTTGTTCTCACTATCCCTTTCAGTTCAAGCTGGTTTCTGCTGATATAACATTCTCAAGAACTGTGTGGGTCTCCTGTGTATGTCACAGAGTTTACTTCATTAGATAAAAGACTCCTTCACAGTTCTTCCTGAATAATTCACTCTATATTCCTGACTTCTGCTGAAGTGACTGAAGATATCTATGTCACATGGCTAGTCTCTTCAAAGAGTCTTCCATGTGATTGACTAATCCTTTCAAGGCACTGGTAAAATGTTATCCTGCTATATATACCCTTACCTTTCTCTAGTCCAGAAGATGCATTCCTGGAAGTAAATCTCCTAATTTTAACATCTTTTGCAATCTGAATAGGCTGAGAATTTCCCCAGTCATAAGGTCCTGATTCATTTTTGTTTTACAGTTCTTACCACAATCTAATTCCTCTCATAATTTTTCCCCCTCACATTTTACTACCAGCAGCAAGAAAAACACAGGCTACCCCTTCAACTCTTTGTCTGGAAATCTCCTTAGCTAAATCTCGAAGTTCATTGTTTAGAAATTCTTATTTCCACATAATGGCAGGACTCAAACTTAAGCTAAGTTTTCTGCCACTATAAGGAAGGATTCTCTTTCCTCCACTTTCCAATACCATTTTCTTTGTGTCTGCACCCTCATCAGCAGAGACTTTAATTTCCATATTTCTACAGTCTGTTTAAAATGACTTATTCCCTAAGGCAATATGTGTTTCTCCACCATGCTCCTCCTCTCCTCCGAGTCCTCACTAGCAGAGTTGTTAACGTCATATTTCTACTAACAGTCTGTCCATAGCAATCTAGGCTTTTTCTATCATGCTTCTCAAAATTCTTCCAGCCTCTCTCCTTTGCCCAGTTGAAAAGCTGCTTCCACATTTTTAGGTATTTGTTACAGCAGCATCCCACTTCTAGCTACCAAAATGTATAACACCAGAGAAACAGAGCCAGCAGATATCAATTGAGAGATTTCTTGCAAGGAAGTCACTTATTTGATTGTGAAAGATGGCTAGACAAGTTCAAAACCTGTATGGCAGGTAGTTAGCAAGGGCAAGCTGGAACTCTGGTGCAAAAGCTGAAGCTGCTAACAGCCAGGCAGAATTTCTTCTTTATCTCAGGGAAGAGTCAACTCTGCGGTTAAGGTCTTTTAATAAGGCCCACCTGGAGGCTATTCTCCCTATTTTAAGTTTAGCTGATTGGCAACATTAAGTCCATTTGAGCTTTAATTCCTCTCTCCAATATAACATATTCATAGGTTCCAGGGATTGGGATTTGGACATCTTTGGGGGCCATTATTTTGCATACCACATTATTTTATAGTATCTACAAAATTGAGAAGCTCCTGGAGATAGAGGAGTCCTGACAAGAGTGCAGATTTTTTTTTTCTCTAAATCATTCAAATCCTTCACCAGCATATCCTTTAATAGATTTCATTTGGTTAACTAATATTAATTCTACAATGTATTTTCTTTCAAATTCCTTTTCAACCAGAACAATGTCATCATCCCAAGGCAAGTAGATGTTGGCATGCTGTGTCATCAGAAGCTCCTCTAAGCCCAGAATTTAAAGCTCCCTTGAGAATTTCCCTACTGGAGAAAAGGAAAATTGCAGGAAATGCATTAGTTGGTCTTAGAGTCTATTGGCCTTATGGAAAGTCCTTAACATAGTTAACCTGGGTGTCAGTAACCCTGCCTAGCACTCTTAACAGGATATTAACTTTAGTTAGACTTAAGGAAGAACCCACAAGTCTTTTCTACATTAATTTAGATATGAAAGAACAGATGATGCAGGTAAGTTTTTAAGTGATGTCAAATATATTTTAGAGTGAAAATTAATTATTACAAATGTGATCTTGAAATGAACAGCTTGAAATTATCTATGTTGCTGCCTATTGGGAAAATGAAAATCCCAATAGATAACTTGGAAGAAACTGGGTAAATATGAAATGATTCCACACCAAACAGAAATAGGGTTATTGAAAACTCAGAGTTGTGCAAATAATGAAAACCAAAGACTTCCAATATTTTAAAAATAAAGTATGATTTTAAAAAGCATATATTATTATGTAGTGCCATACAGTCTGAAGTGTACTTTTAAAATTAGAGTTATATTTATTAGGTGGGATTACCTTTCACATTATCCTTCAGGAATGAGTATGAAAATTTAATCAGAAATATGAAATATCTTGCTATAAAATATTCACTAATAATACAATAATTGGAAAGCTAATTCTGTAACAACCAGCCCAACAACAACAAAAAAGAGTACTAGCACGAAAGACAACATTATAGAAAAAAGAAAAACAGGTAGAATTAAACACTACTATAGAGTTAAAGAAAGCAAGCAAAAAGTAAGGAAGACAAAACTACTGCAGACAGTATGGAAGTTTCAGATACCTAATTATTCTGGAAATTCTGGTTTCCTCCTAGAATCCTGGTCCAGAATATGGGGGAAGATAGGCTTCAAAAATTTGAACTCATTACTCTCAGAGTCTCCAGTCAGACACACCTCATACTGGTAGCTCTGGGACAGGGTCCCCGCGCCGCTGACGTCCACCAGGTGGCCCGGAAAGCGGCCCTCAGGCACCGAGCAGCGACCCCCCGAGGCCGCCCGGTCCCTCCTGCACAGCCGCACCGCCACGAACAGCAGCACCGAGAACAGGAAGAGCGACGACACCGCGGCCAAGGCCACCACCAGGTAGACGGTGAGCGAGTCGGCCTGGGCCTGGGCCGGGGCCGCTTCCGGCGGCGGCAGGTAGGGCTGCGAGAAGCCGTCCACCAGCAGCACGTGCAGCGTGACGCTGGCAGACAGCGCGGGCTCGCCACTGTCCCTCACCAGCACCACCAGCCTGTGCCTGGCCGCGTCGCGCTCGCCCAGCGGCCTGGCGGTGCGCACCTCGCCATTGTGCGGCCACACGCTGAACAGCCCGGGCTCCGTGGCCTTGAGCAGCTGGAACGACAGCCAGGCGTTCTGGCCCGAGTCGCCGTCCACCGCCACCACCTTGCTCACCAGGTAGCCGGCCTCTGCCGCCCTGGGCAGCAGCTCGGTGCAGGGCGCCGAGCCGTTCTGCGGCGGGTACAGCACGAAGGGCGGGTTGTCGTTGTCGTCCAGCACCGCCACGCGCACCAGCGCCTCGCTGCGCAGCGCGGGGGAGCCTCGGTCTGCGGCGCCCACGCGGAACTCGAACGCCCGCAGGGCCTCGAAGTCCAGCGACCTCAGGGCGAACAGCTGCCCGTTGTCCGCGTTGATGGAGACCAGCGAGGCGAGCGGCAGGTGCGGGTCGCGGGGCGGCAGCAGCGAGTAGGTGACCTGGGCGTTGGAGCCCGAGTCTCTGTCTGTGGCGCTGACGCTGCCGATGTGCAGGGCGGGGCTGTTGTTCTCGGGGACGAACAGCGTGTAGGAGGGTTGGGAGAAGGCGGGGGCGTTGTCGTTGACGTCGGAGACCTGCACGGTTATGGTGTGCTCCGTCTTCAGCCTGGGAGTCCCCAAGTCCGTGACGGTGACGGTGATGTTGTACTCGGCTCTAATCTCTCTGTCCAGCGCTCCCTCTGTTACCAGCCAGTAGAAATTCTCAAGTGAAGGTTTCAGCGTAAAGGGAACATCATCCTGAATTGAGCAAACCATTTTTCCGTTTTCCCCGGAGTCTCGGTCTCGAATCCTAAACAGAGCCACCTCTGTCTTGGGGGAATTTTCTGGAATAGGGCTTGTAAGTGATGAAATGGTTAATTCTGGGGCGTTATCGTTGACATCCAGCACCTTAATAATGACAGAACATTTTCCAGAAAGTCCCCCGCCATCAGACGCCTCTATATCTAGCTCATATGAGGATATTGTCTCAAAATCTAGTTTTTTAATTAGTCTAATTTCCCCTGAAAGGCTGCTTAGTTCAAAAGTTTTGCTTATCTCCTGAGAACTATAAAATAGAGAGTATGAAATCTCTCCATTTGTCCCGGCGTCTAAATCCCTAGCCGAGACCCTGGCGACTAGAGAGCCTACCGCGCTGTTCTCGGGGACCTGCACCTCGTAGAGCGTCTGCGCAAACTCGGGGGCGTTGTCGTTGACGTCCAGGACCAAGACGCGGACCAGGGAGGTGCCAGAGCGCGGCGGAGAGCCACCATCCAGCGCTGTCAGGGTTAACCTGAGCTCTGCCTGCTCCTCGCGATCCAGCTCTTTGTCTAGCACCAGCTCCGGGTATTTGGAGCCATCCCCCCGGGTGCGAGTGGAAACATGGAAATAAGAGTTGAGACCAACATTGTAGCTTTGAACGTTGTTGTTGCCCACGTCCCAGTCCTGAGCCTTTTTCAGAGGAAACACAGTTCCAGGAGGGCTAGTCTCTAGGATTTTCAGAATCATTTCTCTTTCAGAAAATTCAGGAGAGTGATCGTTTATGTCTCTCACCAGTAGCTCAGCTCGAAATACTTCCATAGGTTTTTTCAGTAACACTTGGAAATGCATTACACAGGGCTCAGTGGGGCCGCACAGCTCCTCCCGGTCCAGTTTCTCGCTTAATATCAACTCCCCGGTCTGCAGCTGCAGCTGCAAGCGTGGTCCGTTATCCTCAGAGACCACCCGGGCTCCCCGCGCAGATAGCTCCCCCACTCCCAACCCTAGGTCCTCGGCCAGGTTGGCCACAAAAGAGCCGCTCTCTGTTTCCTCCAGCACAGAATAGCGACGGGGTTCCCAGCCTGCCCCAGCCACTCCCAGCAAGAGAATGAGAATCAGGACTTGCCTTTGTTTAGGAAAGCACTCCCCTCTGGCCTCCATCTCTCCTTCTGCCCGCGCCTTTCCAGGAACGGGGTGGAGAACCACCTCGGGGACTGATGGCACTGACCCAGTGACCGATCTCTCAGTTGACAAACTGTCCGGAAAGGTGGGTGAGTAACATTCTCTAGAGACTGACTGGTCTGAGCTCTGCTTACAGGCTTTTTCTCTTCGGCTGAAAGAGGTCTGAAGTAAGTAGTGCCGAGCATCTAATGGGTTCTTTTTCGAAGCCTTAGCCTGCAGCGCCACCATGCGTTGTCTTTACTTCAAAACGAATTGCTACAATTGTTCTATTCTCTCTCATCTATTCTAAAGAGTTTGGAAATTGGGAGAGATAATGTACTCACAAAGTCATGCAGTTACAATTTTCATTCCTTTATTCAAAGAAGTGTTATTGATCTCTGTGTGCCAGGCTCTGAAATACATCACTAAACAACCTAGACATGGTCCCCACCGTCTATTGCCTATAGTCTGGGAGGGGTGCTCAGAGGGAAACTGAGAAGTGAAAGAAGACATAAAAGTGATCAGTCATTTTGCAAAAGCTAATAACATATAGCCATGTTATTTCTTAAAATTCTCTCAACAAAAAAGAATTACTTCCTCTATATTTCTTTCAAATTCTAGGCAGCCTATGTACTAGAATCGAGGTCCCTATTGGTTGAATTACACCAAGGATAAAGCAACAAGTTCATTACAATGGGGTTTCCTCTCTACATACAGTCAGTGAGTTACGATTTGATGAAACTTTCAAACTGTGAGAAAATGCACGAGGGCACTTCTTATATGTCTCATCCTGTTTTTTTCTCCCTAGCATTTATTACCATCTGACATAGTATAGATGTACATACTTGTTTCTCTTCTCTGTCAAACCTGAGTGTCTGTTTTGTTCACTGCTGCACATCCAACATCTAAAATAATCCCTGACACAGAGTAGAAAGTCAACAAATATTTCTTGAATAGATCCATTAATAAATCCAACTTAATTTAAAAACTTGTGACACATAGGTTCTCCTCCTACACAGAAGTCCCCTCTTTTGCTGGGATCCCAGTTTTTTTATATAACCTGGATAAAAAAGACAGCTATTCTCAAGTAGCTATTTTCTATGCTCCTTTGAATTTGAAATAACTCAGAATGATCTAAAGTGTCCTTTAATTAATGGCAAAATACTCTGGCTCCCCCTAAGCAAAAGGATATATTATAAAAAGAAAGAACAAAGCAACAAGCTTATGGTGACCATATAAATAAGAAATACATCTCTTGTAGACACACATTTTACATTATCAATGTTATTTTATACTAATGCTACTACAATGCTAATGATATTCAAACTATTTCTTATATAGTGAAATTTTCTTAGAATTCATACTAAACACTGTAAAGACTACACCATTGGAAAGACCCTTCAATTCTTCTCAAAAGTGTATATTCTAACAAAATCTTGTGCATGTCTCTTACAAACTATTAATATTTTACAACCTTTTTGATTCCTGATTATATTGATATGAAAAGCCACAATAAACACTCAAATTAATAGTAAGAAAGGTCTAACTTGCCAACCATGCAAGAATATCTAACATGCTTTTGACAACAACATCAAAAAAAAAACCTCACTTAGGTATCTTAATTAGAGGGAAATTTATTAACAGAGCACATATTTGTCTCTAAAAACCCAATGAGAAAGCAGACTTGGCAGGAACTGGAAAATCCACAACAGGAAAATGTACAATAAGGTCACTCTTTTGGCATCTCCTTTTTACTTGTCTCTCTTGGTAGACAGAATTTCTGTACTTCTTTCCATGTGTTTAGCCAAACATGACATCACTTTTTTGTTAAGTTCGTAACAGAGAGACTATATCTGGTTTCTAAAGCCATTTTCCTGAAAAGAGAGAATCAGATTGGACCAACTTGGATCAGCAATATCAACCATCCTGTCTAATTGTCTAAAATCAGAGAGACAGAGACAGAGAGAGATGATGGGTCATATAAAATGAATCTGGCCACAACAGCACACCTCTGCCAAAGATAGGAGAATTTTCCAGAAAAAGATGAGGTAGGCTAGACAGACACTAGAAAAGGGATCTATTGTTTAAAAATCTTAAAATAATCTAATAATCATTCAATAATACTCGTATATATTTTATACTGAAGGTTGTTATAAAGAGCAGAAAAATCTTTAAGTCTGGGACAAACTTCAGGCTTTCCCATTTAATATTGTGAAACAAAAGCATGCAATTTTTGCAGACATTTCTCCATTTAAAAATTCAAGACGGGTAAGCATAACATCAAATTAAACGGAAGGTATACTAATAACCCATTATATTTACTATCATCCTTGTCTTCTAAGCATCAAAAATATGGAAAAAATTTCTGGGCAATTGAACATGGGGCTGAGGTCATCTTCAAATCAAGAGGCTGTGATGTTGAATAGTGGACAATTTGAACAAATATTCATGACTTCGGTAATGAGAAAGAACAAAAGGAGACTAAATATGAAGATTTAATCAAACAAAATGTCTAATCTCCTAACTAGGAAAATGAAATCAGCAAAAAACAAAGAAATTCTGTATAGACCAACAAACAAAATGTAAAGGAGATCTAGTGTATTGAGAAATAACTAAACTTTATCCTGAATGCTCTGAAAACTCAACAGATTTCAAATTAAATCCTAACCACTTTACAAAGTCAGACTTTTCCTCCACGTCATTCACAGCACCATGCTGGTTGGGCATAACAGACTTTAGGAATTTGAACTCGCTGGTCTCTGAACCTTCCCTCAGACACACCTCATACTGGTAGCTCTGGGATAAGGTCCCAGTGCCACTAATGTCCCCCAAGTGGCCCGGAAAGCGGCCCTCAGGCACCGAGCAGCGACCCCCCGAGGCCGCCCGGTCCCTCCTGCACAGCCGCACCGCCACGAACAGCAGCACCGAGAACAGGAAGAGCGACGACACCGCGGCCAAGGCCACCACCAGGTAGACGGTGAGCGAGTCGGCCTGGGCCTGGGCCGGGGCCGCTTCCGGCGGCGGCAGGTAGGGCTGCGAGAAGCCGTCCACCAGCAGCACGTGCAGCGTGACGCTGGCAGACAGCGCGGGCTCGCCACTGTCCCTCACCAGCACCACCAGCCTGTGCCTGGCCGCGTCGCGCTCGCCCAGCGGCCTGGCGGTGCGCACCTCGCCATTGTGCGGCCACACGCTGAACAGCCCGGGCTCCGTGGCCTTGAGCAGCTGGAACGACAGCCAGGCGTTCTGGCCCGAGTCGCCGTCCACCGCCACCACCTTGCTCACCAGGTAGCCGGCCTCTGCCGCCCTGGGCAGCAGCTCGGTGCAGGGCGCCGAGCCGTTCTGCGGCGGGTACAGCACGAAGGGCGGGTTGTCGTTGTCGTCCAGCACCGCCACGCGCACCAGCGCCTCGCTGCGCAGCGCGGGGGAGCCTCGGTCTGCGGCGCCCACGCGGAACTCGAACGCCCGCAGGGCCTCGAAGTCCAGCGACCTCAGGGCGAACAGCTGCCCGTTGTCCGCGTTGATGGAGACCAGCGAGGCGAGCGGCAGGTGCGGGTCGCGGGGCGGCAGCAGCGAGTAGGTGACCTGGGCGTTGGAGCCCGAGTCTCTGTCTGTGGCGCTGACGCTGCCGATGTGCAGGGCGGGGCTGTTGTTCTCGGGGACGAACAGGGTGTAGGAGCTTTGGGAGAAGGCGGGGGCGTTGTCGTTGACATCGGAGACCTGCACGGTTATGGTGTGCTCCGTTTTCAGCCTGGGAGTCCCCAAGTCAGTGACGGTGATGGTGATGTTGTACTCGGCTCGGCTCTCTCTGTCCAGCGCTCCCTCTGTCACCAGCCTATAGAAATTCTCAAGGGAAGGTTTCAGCACGAACGGAACCTCATCCTGAATTGAGCAAACCATCCTTCCGTTTTCCCCGGAATCTCGATCTTGAATACTGAAAAGAGCTACCGTGATCTCAGGAGAATTTTCGGGGATGTGGTTTAGGACTGAAACCATGGTCAGTTCTGGGACATTATCATTGATATCCACCACCTGTACTATGACCGTGCATTTTCCAGAAAGACCTGTCCCATCAGAGGCTTTAATATCCATCTCATATGACTCAGTTTTTTCAAAATCTAATTTTCTAATTATTTTAATTTCTCCCGTTAGTTCATTAAGTGCAAATGTCTTGGCGATCTCTTCATCACTATAAAAAAATGAGTAAAATATTTCCCCATGTATTCCTGTGTCTAAATCCCTGGCGGAAACAGCGACAACAAGGGATTCAAGGGGACTATTCTCCGAGATCTGCACTTGATAGAGTGGCTGCGCAAACTCAGGGGCGTTGTCGTTGATGTCCAAGATATCAATGAGGACCAAGGCAGTCCCACTTTTGGGAGGAGCTCCACCATCTACCGCCATGAGAGTTAACCTGAGCTCAGTCTGCTCCTCTCGGTCCAGGGATTTGTCCAGAACTAGCTCCGGGTATTTTCTGCCCTCGCTACCATTGTGGGTGAGAACGTGGAAATGGGAGTTGGGGTAGATGGTATAGTTTTGAATGTTATTAACACCTACATCCAAGTCTTGTGCATTTTTTAGGGGAAATACAGTTCCTGGAGGAGTATTTTCCATAATTTTCAAAATCATTTCTGCATCTGGGAACACAGGGGAATTGTCATTTATGTCACTGACCAGAAGTTTAAACTTATAGACCTCCAAAGGTTCTTCCAGTAACACCTGGAAGTGCAGCACACAAGGCTCAGCGGGGCCACATAGTTCCTCCCTATCCAGTTTTTCATTTACTTGCAGATCTCCGGTATGAAGGTTCAGCTGAAGATGGTTTTTGTTATTGTTAAAAATTACCCGAGCCCTCCGCCAGGACATCTCTCTTACCCCTAGCCCTAGGTCCTTTGCTAGATTGCTCACAAAAGAACCGCTCTCTGTTTCTTCAGCTACAGTGTAACCTTTCCGCTCCGCCCAAGTCTGAGACAGCATAACAAAGAGAAGCAGAACTTGCCTTGGTCTAGGAAAGCGCTCCTTTTCGGCCTCCATTTCTCCAACACCAAAAGCCACGAAGATCCGGATGCCTGTGCTGGGTCTGTAGACAATCTTTGGAAATCAATCCTTGCCGCAACGCAAATTGCGGTTAAGAAAGCCTCTTGTCTTTGGTGGATTTCATTATGGCTGTCAGAATAGTAACCCTGCGCAAGTCTGTTTTTCAGCAACCTTAGCTTACAGCGCCACCACGCGTTGTACTTGAACCTAGTTTGCTAAATATTGAACACAACATGTGTTCTTACTTAGTTTCATGCAAACAAAACAAAACGCAACACCGCGGATTATATATATGGGGCAGTTTATAAATTAAAATGGTAACTTCTATTTTTCTGTGAGATTATGAATGTGGAAATGGTACCAGACACTTTGGGAAATTATGCAAATGCAAAGTTAACTGTATTTATTCATTCAACAAATACTTATTGATTTCATATTATACACCAGGCACTGCACTAGCTGCTGAGAACAAAAATACCTTCTAAGACTTCATGGAACTTACAATATGATATCTATTAAATTGTATAGTAAGTGCTCCACGAAAATTGAGCAGAAACAGATACGCAGTTATCAGTCTATTAAAGAAAGAATATACACCATGAAACTCTTAACTCACTGCTAGCACAGTAGATAAAGAGATTCATTCACATGTTTCAGGAGTACTAACTTAGGTGGTAGACCAGCTAGAACTAGTTTATTATGCAAACTCATAAGTTTAAGGAGTTGTGAATAACTTATTTGTAAATATTATCTAAGAACTTTTGTAAGTTTGTTATAATGATTTGTTACATTATCTAAAACAATTTGTAAAGAGCATCCACATCTATTACTAAAACTAAGATACACACACATAGAAGCTGAGGTTTACTGAGACCTTGAAGAGGAAATAGTCAAAGATAAAAGCTGAAGTTGAAGTAAAGAATAAAGTGCAGATGAAAATAAGTTAGATCCATCTGAAACAGCAGATTAATTTACAACTAGGAAAGATCTCAATTCAGTTTTAGTGAGCAACTCATATATCTCTTATAGATACCTTGAGATCCTGGTATCCTAGGATGGAACTGAAATTCTCTTACTTTTAAAGAGGAGGAATACATCTTGGAGGAAGAGACCTGGGGTCTTCCCAATGGCACCAACTTTAGCCAATGTTTTTATAACAATGTTTAAATAACATATACTATCATATATTCTGGCATTCTAATTACCTGGCTAACTGGGAAAACAGCTTGGGCCAATTGTAAGAATTATGTTTCATATTGGTTTAATTCTATTAAGACACCAATCACTCAAATCAACATTCTATTTTAGAATATTTTCTTCCCCACAGTGAAATAAATTTGATTAAATAAACTTTCAATATATGATAACATGCTTCTCACATTTAAAAACCTGATGAACAATTTTCTTGTAGAAAAGATATTGGTCATGGATCCAAATTCTTTATTGTGGAATCAATTGTCCAAGAAACTGTGCCTTGAATGTCCATGCATTTTAAAATCACGGAATAGAAGCTGGTACTTATGTCAGTAAGCTAATGGATCAAAGTTAGTTTTTCATTCTCATCTTTATCTCTCATATAAATTTTATTCTTTTTTACTTTTCAACATGTGAACTTTGGGAGAAGAAAAAAAGAGAAAGTTTACTATAAGGAAACTATAGTCTTAATGTAGAATCCCAGGGCAATTAGACATTGGGTATTTAGGAGGAACTGGAATCAGGAACTGGCAGGTCTAGAACCGAGTAGCTATCTTAGTCTCTACTGTTTTCTAGGCTTCTGCCTCCTCCACTCTCTATTCCTTTTCACATTTACTCTTTCCTTCTGGTCTTCTCTCCCTCCTTTCCTCTCTGTCTAGAAGCCATTCCCTGTTTCCAGACTATATAGATATAAACATGGCTATCTTAGTTCATGCTTAACATTTATTCCAGAACAAAAAAATAGATGAACTACAGTATTTTAATCACAAACTTAGGTGGTTGGAGAATGTGGTTATTACAGCTTTAATCAGAAGTCTAACACTGGACCAATAAAAATGGCTAAGAAAGGCAAAAAAAAAAAAGAAAGTGGGATAAGTATCTCACTAATGATCAACTTTCTTGGATAGTACAAAAGAACATGGGTTGGATATGTGTGTGTGCACACACACGTGTGTGTATCTTAAATCCAAAGATGATTTTGAATTTATTTTAATAAAACAACATTTACCAGCAATACATACAGTTCACAAATAGTTATGAATAAAAATACTCAACTGCAGAAAAAATTGTCTGCAATATTTGGCAGGCAAGTAGAATGGAAAGATTGATTACGCTTTTTTTTTTTTTAGAAAAACCTAAATTAGATCAGATTTAAAAACCAACCTAACCAGATAATGAGCAAGTATGTTTTTATTCATGTCATGCATTTTCCTCTATAATAATACTATCAACCATATAAAAATGTTTTGGTGAGAGGATCCAATGTCAGAACACCAAGAAAATATGAATGAGCCCAGTGTGCAATTAAATTTGAAGGGAAAATGATGTATAACCCAATACGTGATTTGATGTTGGATTTTGGAACAAAGACTAAGCAAATCCTTGCTCCCTTAATTTTTTCACAGTTAATATAAAGAATAGGAGAAAATAGACTTAAAGTTTTTTGAACTTCCTGAAAACTCTTAAGTTAAAAGAAGTTACCCAAAATGAAGAACTGTACATGACAATGAATACAATTTCAAAGAAATTTAGACTCATTCTAAAAGTTCTGCATCATAATCAGACCCTTAATGGAACTCAAAGCCATTCAGAAAGGTGGGGCTTTCTCCACTTCATTGCCCTGGGGTCTCACCACTTGGGTGGGAGGTTGAGGCATAACCGGCTATAACTGAACTCGCTGCGCTCTCTGAGTCTCTTTTCCTGTCCAAGACACATCCTCCCTCATACTGTCTCGCTCTGGACAGGTCACCCGCGCCGCTTACGCTCACACCACCACTTCTATATCTTTTCTCAACCAGGTGCCGGAAGCGCTCCAGGCACCTAGCACGATTTTACACCCCTGAGGCGCCCATCGGTCTACTTTCCTCCTGCACAGCTCGCACCGCACGAACAGCAGCACAGAACAGGACAAGATGCGACGACACCCGCGCAAGGCCACCACCAGAATAGACGGTGACGCGATGTCGGCACTGGGCCTGGGCCGGCGCCGCTTCTCGCTGGCGGCAGGTAGGTCGAAGCGTATACCACTCCAGCAGACGTGCAGTCTTCATGACGTCATAGGGCAGACAGCGTCGGGCTCCGCCAGCAGCGTTACTCCCTCACGCACACCAGCTGTGCCTGCGTCGTCTGCGCTCGCCAGCAGTCCTGCGGTACTGCGCACCCCGCCACATTCTCGCGGTTACCACACGCTGAACAAGCCCGGGCTCGTGGCTTGAGCAGCTGAACGACAGCAGGCTTCTGGCCGAGTCGCCGTCCACGCACCACCTTGTCACCAGGTAGCGGCCTCTGCCGCCCTGGCAGCAGCTCGGTGCAGGCGTCGAGCCCGCTTGCTGGCTATCATGGTTTCCAGCAACGTTTAACGGGGCTGTGTCTTGTCGTTCCCAATGCACCTGCACGCGCTCACCAGCGCTCTCCGCCTGTCGTCAGCTCAGGGCCAGCCTCGCGTCTGCGGCCCCACCTCTGGAAACTACGATCTCACCGCTCCGTCTAGACCTCAATGGTCCTCGATAGCATCCATCCTGCGACCTCCCAGGCGCGACACTCAGTCACTGTCCCTGTTGTCGCGTTTGACCTGGGATCATACGAAGGCGCTGCGGCAGTTCTCTCTTTCTAAACTTATATCATCTAATTCTTTTCTGTTGCGTGCGTAATAGTCGCATTGGGGCTCCGCAGCACGTTGTATTGACCCTGGTGCTGTTGAGCGCCGTAGTCTACTGTCTGTGGCGCTGACGCTGCCGATGTGCAGGGGGCTTTTCGTGTGGCAACCAAACGAACAGTATACCTTTATCCCTTAATTATATCATAATCAAGGTGTAGGAGCTTTGGAAAGATCTCTCTCTTTT